AAAATCTGCAACATGAGATGACATCATCACACCTTCTCACACTGAATGCCACACTCAGCTTGTTCTGAAAAGAAAGGACAGAAAGAAAAAAACAGGCATCCTGTCTCTGCTCTTGTTTTGTATGCTCTTCACAGACTCATAAAAGAGTACTACAGAGTTATTTTAAACTCTTAACATTCCCATTCCTTGTAATTTGTGGCGATCAAGCAATCAAAGCTTACTCTTTCCTTAACCTCATTATAAATCACTGTGGACAAAAGCTTGTGCTAAAATGGAGTGTAAATGTTTTGGGAGACAGAATAATTGCCTGAGCTTAAAGTGATAACCTCAATCAGATGTAACAGGAAACGTGAAATCAGCCAAGTTTGAGGCTAGAAAGTGTATTCTTCTGACAGGGGTCACTTTTTATGTGCTGACATCTTTCACCATTACCTCTGCTCGGCAACAGTCTTATCATAAACAATGAATCAATAGCATCTTTAACGAGACGGCGACGTGACGATGTGATGATGAATACTGCTCTGACAATGTCCTTGATTTTGATCAGAAAAATGACACTGTTTCCTGACCTTATTTCTGCTATACAGTGTACAACAGTGAACATACCCCAGCAGGATTACAAATTATATCTCTTCATGACTAAGTTGAACAGAAAGATGTGACCTCATTGATAGAAAAAAACTAACAGTTAAGATTTACTATATTCAAAATGCAGGCCACACAGTCGGAATTCAGTGCAAGTCAGTAAGCCTTTCATTACTAAAATTCAAATCTTTTATTTTTTTCAGCACTTTTTATGTCTCTTGTACGCTCTGCCATCCTTCAGAGACTTTTTTTTAGCTGCTCTTTGCTAGAAGGCTTGTTTTGCACTGCGTTTCTCTTTAAAATGCCTGAAAGATGTTCTGTTAGATTCAAGTCAGGTGAAATACCTGGTCAGGTCATCTTGTCAGCTAGTAGTTTGGTATATCCACAGGCATTCATGCTACCATCTATAAATGTCGTCTCCCCAACAACTTTTACACACATGCACCTCCAGGTCATCACAATCCTGCCTCTGTGCTTCACTGTCAGCACTAAGCGTTCACTCTGGTAGTTCACGTCAAATATGCTGGACTCTATCTGAGGCAAACAGTTTCTCCTCAGTCTTATCTGACCAAGCCTTTAGTCATTAGGCTTCTTTTCATGTGTTTTAGCAAAGTGAGATCTTGCAGTTTCTTCCAAAGCCGTCTGTTCGGGTTGACATCTTTCACAATGAACTGCCACAGAAACAATTTGCCTGTTTGTTTTTTCAAAGCTAGATTGCGCAATGTCCATGACATCACTGTAGAAGGGAGGTCACTACAGCTCTGATTAGTGGGGCGATGCCTTGTTCTGTACCTCCTGAACACCTCCTGTGTTTTGATACATTTTTAGTTGGTCATTGATCTTTCTGTATTGTTTTCCATCTTTGCAAAGTCCTCTAGCAATTATTTTCTATGTCGAGCCATGATGCATACATGTAGATACAGATACAACCCATAGGTCCAAAACTGAGAAAGTTCTGGTGTTAGCAGGTCATTTTATAACTATGTACATGCATGTCGGTTAATTAGAAATCACAATTGTGATTCAGTTTGGTAGTGACAATTTATTTTTTTAATTTGTCTGTCAGTGACCACAACTGTACTCACTTCTGTTGCATTAAATTGCCACTTCAGGTGCTTCTTCTTGACTGCTTGTAAGAAAAAAAAAAGCTCTACTATTCAACTTCGACAGAATGTTATTTCTACGACATGATTCCATTTATAACCATTTGACCTTTAAGAGATATTTCACAGGGATGCACTCACTTGTGCTCCATACTATACACATAGGACTTGCGTAAAAGCATTAGACATTTAAAGCAGTACCTTGATGAGCCTATTTATTATGTTCCAACTGCAGTGCTGTATGAAATGCCCTCATCATTTTCTTGGTGGATTTGAGGCTTTTCTTTGGAATTCCCAAACTGCATGACTATGCAGTACTCACAGGGAACTTATGATTATGCAAAACCTCATGACTGCAAGAGTTGCCAGTTAGCGGAGCTCTCTGCCAGGATAACAAAGTTTTGGATCAGAACTTTTAGTTCCGATTCAGCATTGACCTCTGTTCTTATATACAGTCCTCCAGCAGTCGTGGGTTATATATATAATTTATTTTTTCATTTTCTCTCCTGCCCCACAGTTCCCAACTTTTATACCATAATGAGGTGTTTTGTATTGATTCAGGATGAATTACACGATTTTAGGGGAAATTGCTGTACAGCCTTGGACACATAATTACCTAAGAAAAAAAAAAAGAAAAACCTACTGTATTTTCTGAAAGCATGGCTTAGAGCTCAATGGTGCTCATATGGTCAGGCAGCGAGGATGAACACAATAGCCAGCGCAACTCCTTTCACAAAAAAACAAATTGATTCCCTTTGTGCCTATTGTGTCTGCTGTGAAGTAAATAGCAACTCTGACAAAATGTTCAGAGGCAAGGTGAAATAGTTTTCACGCAAATTTCAAATCTATATTGAACCACAATGAGCAGAGTCTGCATGAGTCATTATTTTTCAGGGTCAGGACAGCTATGAATATTCAAGGACCACATGGTTTAAGAGTTCTTAGAATGTGTTTGCCTCAATGGTAACGCTTATATATATATGATGTAAGTATCTAAATATAAACTAGGTAGGCCTAAAATAGCTCAAAAAATAGTCAGTTCTCTCAATGCATGGAATAGGATACACTCTCTGGATGAACTCAAACATAACTTTGACATTTCTTATTACCTATACAGTTTATTGACCATAGGTATATGCAACTACTGATGTACCTGTGGTCACCAAGTATTAGTCCTAATATCACAGCGAGGTCAGCCAAGGATTTTTGACAGTGTTGGCGAGTGTTGACAGTCAGGTTCTCAATTAGCAGGTCTAGGTAGTGGCTCTCAGTCCTTTATTTTATCCCAATCAAAAAGTTCTTGCAGCTGAGTATAGAATACAGAACACTGACATTGGACATCAGGTCATAAATACAACCTTATTTACTTATTCTTTCTAACAAATAAGATGAATCAAGACTGAAATTCTCATACATCCGGTATATACTATATAACTTCATTCTTCCTAATCAGTCCTTCAGCATCCTTTTTTTTTTTTTTTACAGATGATACAGTTTTATATCAGTCTGCCACAATATTCACCTGTTAAACATTTTGCACCAGCATGTCGGATAGCCCTTTCCACAGCTCTCATCAAGCACCAAATGAAGAAATATCTTTCGTAAGAATGCTGTTCCATCCCTCCAGTAGCGTTCCACAGACTTGGAGAATTAATGCAAACTGCCCTCAAGCTAGAGTCATTCATTCCCCTCAGAGAGAAAAACCAGTCCTTGTTTTCACCAAACTTAAGTTTGTGAAACAGTGAAAAATGGAGCATACTGTGTCTAAAAATGGACGAAAAATGAGGTCTCGATGTGAGGATAGTTGTTATTTCTTTGTTTTTGTGTTTTGTTTTTTTGTCAGTTTTTTTGTGGGGGGTTTCAAGTTTTTTTCTTCTAGAGTCTGGTAGAAGATTAGAGTTATGAGTCAGTAGTCAGAGGTGAAACATCTTCTGGGATTGAGACAGTGATGGATGAGGGTTTCATGAATATATGTAGTCGGTGGAAGATCGTCATAAGAGTAAAACTCAGACATACACTGGATATGTCTGAGATTTTCTTTTGGATGAAACAAGAGGCTCCATCTCTTCCCCTGTCTTTCACACAAATACTCATACACATTTAAACACATAGTGCCAAACACCGTCACTGCTGCAGACTGTCTCTGTTTGCTCGAAATTGCCTTTTTGTCACTTTCTGCTGCCGAGGACACGTCTTTGCTCTCCACTATTTATTACTGCTACTGTAATCATGCACAGACGACTCAACTTGAACTACATGACTGGAATCTTATTTTTCATCTTTCTCCTTCATTGATCAGAGATTGTATCAGTGTCATTTTTCATATGAACCAACCTTTATTAATAACACTCCATTTCCACATAGTATTGGCATGTGATTGACATACAGATATTGACGTTTCACCCTGTGACCTTTTCATTTACATCTAGTAATTATGTGCATTCTGTCCACCCTGTTCTCAGAACTTAGCATTTCAGTTGGACAGGTGGAGCTGGCAGACCTGGCAACAAAATTGATAAGTCTCAGGTCAAGGAAAGCAGTGCGGTATCCTCTCAGGGGGATCACTCAAACTTCCAAAGCAAGACTCACATTGCAGAAAAGCTTGGGTATGCTTGAATAGAACCAGTTTGTACATCAGCTCAAGTACAAATTACCAGTCCCATCTGAAAGCGAAAGTATTTACACCTCTTCTGTACTCAAAGATGGCCCTTACATATGGAGTTCCAGAAAACCAAGCATTATATTTGAAGCTTGCTGACACCTTGAGGCTGCTCATATATAAAGAAGCCCCTCAAATGAAGGCACTTCTGCTTGGGCTACGTATCTCTGGCTATACTGATAGATGTGGTGTTATGGCACATGACTAGTGATGCCTGGTTTTTAATAGTCCAGCTGACCAATCAAAGTAGGCTGTGCTTTTTAGGACAGGCCTTAAAGAGACAGGACCTAAAATCAGAATTTGAGAAGAGGTGCTGTAGCATTGTACAGTATTAGAGACATAATGTGTTTTTTGAACACTAAAGCATGTAAACATATTCTAGAAAACCCCCAAAATAAAATTATGAACATGTAGATGTGCATGATATGGTCTCTTTAATTTTAAACACAAAAACTGAAGATTTGAGAATTGCACTTTTACATCCTGGTAAATTAGGCCTGCCTTTGTAAAACAACAGTATGTCATGCGACTTACTGTTTCAGGCCCTCTACCTGCCTTTTAAATATTCCTGGAAGTTGTATTCTTACGTGTTGCTTCTTTCAATTTCAATAGCCTGACATCTCTCATTCATACTTTTTTTTCCTTCCTCACAGGGGCCTGATATCCTTGAATTCTAGTGACACCTACTACCTGGAGCCAATCAGCGGTGTGGATCCAATGCACCACTCACTGTTGAGTGCTAAGGAACTGCCAGTTGAAGGTGGAAACTGTGGCCACGGCCATCACACCACACAATTCAACCATATCTCCAACCTGCTCAGACCATTTCATTCACGGGTGAGTCTCCCAGACACTAATGGCTCTCTTTTGTTACAAATACAATGTCAGACTGTATTCAGTTGGTCTCCTTTCAATACTTAAATACTATTTAAAGAAACGGAAGACCCACTTTTTTGTTGAGAAGATCAATAACAGTTTCATCTCTGTGTGTCCGAAGACAAGTGTATTTCCCCAGATATTGTTCAGTGGATGATTATGTTTCACTCAGAGTATTGTCACATCTGACATCTGGGTAAAGGTCCTGAAGTGTGGTGTTGAAGGGTTGTACTTAACATCTTCAGGGATGTCAGTTAGGAAAACCTCTAATAAAACAGCCCTAACTCTACCTTAAGTGGATTGTTAACCCATCTAAGACTTTCATTAGTCTGGCTTTCAGAGCAGAGTTTTCTATCCCTTGTAGTTCTGTTTCAAAAGCTTCCACTCTTGACAGCTGGGGATAACTGGATATATTTTCTACATTGAATACTGGCAAAAGACATTTTGTACCAAAGACATTTTTTTTAAGTCTTTTGACTTGTTTCTAAAAAGTTTTTTGAAGTTTTTTGGGATAAATCTGAGCCAAGTTTTAAGTCATTTGATTGTAAAACCAAGCCAAGTCTTACATCTTTGAGGTCAAGTCCAGGTCAAGTCTTATGTCTTACAAGGGCAGATCAAAGTGAAGTGTCAGACAAATGAGGCCAAGCTACAGACCTGATAATGACAGTAAAGTATTAGTGCTACTGCTCTGCTAACAAACCTTTAAAAAAATCTGCTTGCTTTGATGGGTGCTGTGGCTGTACGATGACGTCACACTTGTATACAGACCAAAGCAAGAGAGCAGAGCCTGCCATCTTCAAACTTCTGCCTAAAAATGTACAACTTAAGGAATTCTAAATGTGCACACCGACTGAACCAAATTGAATTCACCATTAAAAACAGCTACAGTATGCAGCTTCTTTTTTTTTCCCTGATAATTTCACTACAATCTGGGCAGTCTTAACATTGATTCAAACTCTAAATGTGTGCAGTACACCAAAGTCCAAACTTCCCTCACCACACAACTTCACTAGAATCCTGCCTTCAAAAAGAATCTGTAACACCAGAAAAAAAAAAAAAACTGTTGGAATCACTGTAACTTTATATATTGAACACAGCATCATGGTTAAATCCGAATGAGCTTAAGGATTTTTTTTTCAAACTTTATGCTATTGTATAAGCTTTAACTTTTTTGTTGTTATTTGTGTAATAAAAGTAATATTAGGTTGGTCTCCCTCATACTGTCCATAAAACAGCTCTGACTTGTTTGGCCACAGACAAGGGACCTGTCGGGGTGTCTCTGGGTGTCCTCCACTGTGACACTGGCTGCTGAACCTTTGGGTCTTGTGGATTGCTGGGCAGTTTTTTTGGTGCAACAGGACACATTGTTTAAGACCACTGTTGTAGAGGGGCAAGGATCAGTGTTGCGAAAGAGCTCCTCCACAATGGTGCTGAAAATGGAGGCATTGTCGAGATTGTTGATGTCCTGACAATTGTATTTTCTTGTTACTGAGTTTCTTGGTATGCTCGCATGTTCTCAGTATTGCTAAATAGCTTTCTAAGAAAGTGTGTTTCAAGAGAAACCTGTGCAAGAGAACACAAAGTAATCAATGAAAGGGATGTCGAGAAAATCCGATCAAAATCATGGTAATGCCTAAACACCCACACAACATGGGTCCAGGATGAGACAAGAGTTAATCTTCCACAGCCAGGACAAGACAAGATTTTATTTTATTTATTTTTTAACTTATCCACTCCTGTGCCACCCTCTAATCTTCATGTCATCGCAGGCTTTCAATGGGACCACTCAAGCTTTGTGTTGTTGTCAGAGAAACAGAATTTCAGACAAACAGAAATAGTTATGATTCATGTACTACCTCTAATGTGAAGGACTGAGTCATAATCGTCTTTTGGTTCGCCAATCAGAACATTTGGCTCTGCAGCATCAGTGGTCTTTATCATCTGCAAAAACAATATTGAATAGGTCATTGTGCAATTTTAGGAAGCAGAATTACGCTCATACCACCTGGAAATGGAGGGAATTGTGGCTTTGATTCAGCTTGTCATGGCTATGAATCAGTTTCCTGTGCCTCTACAGAGAAGAATTAAACCAGTCTGATTTGCTCATCTGCAGTTATAGATGATGAAAAGGCTCCTCAGTGGGCCCTTCTGCCTTCATCTGTTTAGACTGCTGCAACGAATTCTCAATCTTTGGTTTTTCTTGTTATGTTTATGCCTGTATTTGTCATTTTCCAGTTTAAGTTCTCAGTCACTTAAACTGGCTTCATCTTTTTCCACACCTCATATGCTAAGTTCCCTCTTAGCTCTCCACCAGGGCATCATCCTTTTCCCCTGTTTCTTTATCTTCCTCCCTCCTGCATCATACCCCTTGGCTCTCCACAGCCACCCATTAATCCTTGGTTGTTATGCAGAAATGCCAGCCACAGCAGACCTGAGGTCCCAAGGCTTTTGCCACTATTTGCGTCTCAAATAAACAATGTGTGAATGCATTAGTGTGGATATGTGTGTGTGCTGAACTTCACAGGCTGCAATCACAGCATCGCTGATTCCCTGCCATTGCTGTTACATCCCCCCACCTCCCTTTGCACATAAATCAATGAGCTTTAATTACAGCAGAGCCTTTTTCTAATGGTTGTAATCAAGTATTAGGAGGGTGGAAACTTAACGATGGAGGGGATAGAAGGAATCATAAAGCTTTGAAAACACAACAGCAGGGATGACTGGAAGGCCACTCACACATATTAGACTTTTCACCTCTTTATTAACTCTTTTAGACTAAGCAGTTGTAAGATTTGAGCCTGTTTTATCTGGTCAAATAATGAGGTCTGGCTCCTGGTTTAGTTGAACCACTTATACTGGCACCAGTGCCTCGCATCAGTTTTATAATTCCACAATTTTACACTCCTGCCAGAATTGTATCAAAAGCGTGGTTCACTGGGGAATCGAATTCTACTGGTTAAGGTAGAGATTAAATATTAGTGTCTGCAAATAAAGTGCAACCTTATTGAATTCACTGACCTGTTGTACAGTTCAAACTACAAACCCTTCTTTTTCAACCTAACTGATTCCATACTGCTCTTTGCCTTCAAAAGGCAATAAAATACAGTATAGTGTGCACCCATAAACCACAACATTAAAACCACCTGATTAATATGCTTCTGGTCCTTGGCCCGCCGTCAAACCAGCTTTAACCCCCAACGCCCTGGAGTCTACAAAACCTCTGATGGTGCTCTGTATTATCAGCTCCCAAGAGGATCCTTTAAGTCTTGGATCAGATTGTCTTAGAACATCTTCCAACACTCCTTAAAGTATCCCCCAAGCCTGTCTGTGTCGGAGATGCCCCAGCCATGTCACCCAGCCATAGCCATTTGGCTTCATCAAAGTCAGGTCTTTACACAGGCACGTTTTTTCCCACATTACTTAACTGGACTGAGCTGACTGTCACCTACAAACTAATAAAACCCAGTTCTTAACATGTGCCGTTGTTAAGAGATTATCAGTGTTATTCAATTTATCTGTGAGTGCTCAGAATATTTTTGGCTCACCATTATACCAAATAAATACAACTGGTGCCCTGTTCATAATCATCCTTCTATCTTTATTGTCAGGTCAAAAGAAACACCTGGGGTACCACAAAGTACATGGAACTGTACATTGTGGCAGACAACACACTGGTAAGATGACTCTCCGCCTACCCAACTCATTCCACAGCAGAATATTCCAGGGCACACTCTATCATACCATTTGTCCACTGAAATTAGCCAGCCACAGAATGACACACTGATGGAAACATGGTCCACTTCTTAAACAATTATCCAATTTAAGCTAATGGAACGCTTTCATACTGACAGCTTTGAGCGAACATAATAGTCATAGCATGGCAAGAGCATGTGGAGACAAGCCAGAAGGATGTCCGCATAATGAAGGAGCAGATGTGGGTGGAATGTAAAGGTGGAAAAGGCTTTTAAATAGACTATACTCTGCGCCTATGGGATGCTATAGCTTCATAAAAGTTCACTTCGGGTTATCTGTACTGCGTTAATGCCATGGTAACGGAACATGTTTACGAATAAGAAGATTGCAGCTTCTCCATCTGTAATTGGTGTAATTATGATGATGGACAGAGGTAGAATGGATGAAGTTGGACTAGTTGGGGTTCTAGTGTTGTTTTCATGGGTCATTAGTCTCGGCAGGGAATTCTAAAATGGATTAATTCTGACAATTTATTTATTTCACTGACTGCAGACCTCATTCATACCACTAACATCCACTATCTCCAATGTCCTGCAGTTTAAACGGCAGAATAAAGACTATGAAAAGACCAAGGCAAGGATAATGGAAATTGCCAATTACGTGGATAAGGTAAGGCTGATGGGTGCCCCTGCAACTGACTTCCTATTCTCCAGAGAACAAACAGCTCCATTCAACAAGCTAATAGAAAGCATGGGGAGCATCATCAGTGATTAAAAAGTGCTCACCAATATCTACTGCTGTATAAAGTCTCATCAGGATTCAATCAATAGTGTCCTTCAACAGCCTTTTATGGAAGACAGGGTAGAAATTGTCTTGTGTGACCAGACTGTATTATGGGAGGTTATGACAAGATAGCGGACTAACCTGTTTGTGTGTGTGTGTGTGTGTGTGTGTGTGTTGATACATATTTGTTTTTGTTTTTTTTGTGTGTGTATTTAGTTCTATAGGGCACTGAACATCCGTGTGCCTCTAATTGGTCTGGAAGTTTGGACCGACAGAGATCAGTGTATCATCACCGAGGAGCCAAACGCCACTCTCTGGTCCTTCCTCCAGTGGAGACAAAAGCTGAAATCTCGCAAGAAACACGACAACGCCCAGCTGCTCACGTAAGAAGCACAATCACACCTAAGCTAAAGCAGCTATGTAGCAAAGGAGGAGAACATGAGGAGTCTTTTGTTAGTGTTTATACTGGATCAGTGAGATCTGTCAGAAGCAATTCTGCAGCAGGCGCAAGCAAAAACTCAAGCAGCGTGATGCCATAGGTGCTGAAAGTTGGAAAGAAAATAGACTTTTACAGTTGTGGTTTGGTCCATTTAGTCTTAAAAAATATATAAACCATTGTTTTGTTTTTTAGTTCAGTTTTTTGCTTTTCAGGTGGTCTTAGTCTTATTTATTCTGCCCCAGAGACCAACTACCAATACCCACAGATCCACTCGCAGGCAAACCAGAGAGGTGCAAAGTGAAGTCAGGGTCACATATTATGACTAATGAGATGACTGTGATTGTAATTTGGGTCTTACAACTGCTCATACTAAAGTTGGACTGAATCTGTTCCAGTCTAGGTCATTGGGTCTGTTCTACCGTGGGCCAGCTGCTATTACAGATAAACAATGTGTGATATGTAAAGATTCTAATCTTCAGTCTTCTTCCTCCTAAAGATGCTTTTCAAACATGTTGCGACGGACGTTGACGACCGATAACATCACTTGTGTGGGATACATGACAGTAAATTACCTTAAGTAGAAACGGTCTTGGTGTATGTTTTGTCCAGTCTTTCTAGGCTTTAGTGGCAGGGGTGTCCCAGGTTTTTAATGGTAAAAGCACATAACACAAGATGCATTTGGTGTCAGTGCAATGTGTAAAGTGCAAGAAAAAATCGAGCTACTATGATGCTAGTGTAGACAGCTTTGATCATAAATACTGAAGCTCCTTCACCAGACAGACAGGACTGAAAAGAGCGACTGGGTGCTAAAAGCACCTTACATACACAATAGTATGTTTCATTGATAAAATACTAAGTAACTACTCAGGCTTCACTTCACACACTCAGAGATCCTTTACATCGCTTGACTTAAAGGAACCCTATGGAGGCTTCTTGTATCAAAATAAAGTACTTTTTACATCCAGGAAAACACTTTATGTGTAAAGTGGCTGCAAAGAATATTTTTATAAGAGCAATGAATCAAATTATAATGTGAAATCACTAATAGTGATGCACTTACAGGAAATTATAGTCTGGATCATGCTGCTCCCATCGGCTTTATAAAGCAACGCAACTGTTTGGATTCACTGTTACCGCTCTCATAGTGTTGTCTTAGGCCATAGCATGACACTCATAGGAAAAGCTTAAAATGCATGCTCACCAGCAAGCAACAGACAAATAAACTTAAACAGTAGCTGGTGAGCAGAGTGGAATACTAAAGATATTTTTCGTAGGAATGGAAGGAGACCAAAAACAGAGCTAAAAGGAGATAGAATACAGCGTTTACAATTATCAGAAGGGCAAACGTCACAACCAACGATGACAGCTTAATGTGTAAATAAGCAACTGTTTACTCACTAGTTCTCCATATCAATTTAAAAGGCCATGATGTGTTATGTTGTTGACACAGCTTGTTTCTATTGCCCCTTAGTGACCCAAAAATAAGTATTAAAGTCGAGGAATCATGTTGTTTTTTGTTCACATTTTAAATCCTGTGTAGTTTACACCCACATTTACTCGGCACCAGCACATCTCTGAAATGGTATGAAAACACTGGCAGAGCTGTGTGTTGTGCCATTATGCAAACAAAACAGGGAGCACATCATAAGAAAACAACTTCATAGCACTACGAGCGCTTCAGAGTCCACAGGGAGCTGCACAACCATGCTGGCCCTCCCTGTGATCAGCGTGTACAATATACTTATATGGTGACAGGAAAAGAGAGAAACTGGATGTAATCTAACATATGGAATCGCAACCAAGCTAGATCAATTTCAACAGCAATAAATGTGTAAATTTTTACATACATATATATCCATACATACATGATATCAGAGCTGACAGATTGATACTTTTGGGACTATCAGGTGGGATTTGGTGAAATAGCAGCAGATAGCGAACACTGTGCAAAACTAACTGTGATTATCTATGTATTATTTATTACCTGATGCCAGCATTTTGCTTACATCACAAACAAATGTGCAAGAATGAGTTTTATATTGGCTTATATACCTTTTTAAAGAGTTCCACAGGATAGAAAGGGAAAGAAAGGGGCGAAAGAGTGTGGGATCAACTCGGTGACAGAAGCAGCGAGGTTTGGGAACACGAATAGTTTCCTGAGTACTGTATTTTTCATTCCAGAGGCTGACAGGCTGAACTTTTTGCAGCCTGCATAAACACAATTTGACAAAAACACTGTGAAGAAAACTGTGTAATATAAAGTTGAAAAAAAAAAAAAGAGAGAAAAAGAAAAAAGGCAGACTATGTGACAGGCTCCCAGACTGACTACCAGCTGCTACTGCAAAGTGTGCTGTGGCACAGTCAGAGAACTCCCATATGTGACCATTATGTGATGCAATTCAAGGGCTTTCTGCCACCATGGGTTGTAAAACAATACATGTAAAACTTCAAAATTATGATTTCCCATGAATCCGTAAATATAAATTCACTACAAAATTTCAGCAGCAAGCTACTCTCGCGGTGTGATTGCACAGCAGAACCGTGGCTGAACGGATTCGGTGTACTTGGGGAGGACGGCAGCTGCTGCTACAGCTGTCTGCACCAGCTGCTGAAATTACATTCTTGTCTGTGACTGTAAATGCAATTGTGCTCTTCAAGTCTGTTTTCCTGTTATTTAGCCGTGTGGCCAGTGTAGACAAGGTGTCGGACAGAGCCTGTGTTCAACTTCACCATATTTATAGCCAACACAGCAACACAAACATGGGCAAATGTTCTTCTTAGGGTTCTTTTTTAGTTAAAAAAAAGAAAGAAAATGCACAGTTGGCATCTTGTGAATCACACATAGATGAAGTAAACACCACTGTTTATCTTGTTACAAGTAATTTCACATAAACAGACAAATCTTCTAGTCATTATGGTGGATGCGGCGTAACAGAAAAAAGAGGCACAACAACCAACATCCAACCTTTGTTTAATGTCTCCCTGCATTCACTGGCCACCTATACTGTGCTTAATGCAGCTAAAATCAATATTTAGTTTTTTCAACCAGCTTCATGTGGGAGTAAATTTAAGTTTTAGAATAACTTGAACTGTTCCTGTCTAGCAAAAGTATATGTTTTGTACAGAATCAGTCAAAAGTTTGGGGTAGCCTGCTGGCTGAATGGTTTTGCTGGACACATGGTGCAACATGCCCTTAGTAATTGAATCTCCAGTTGAAGTAGATGCAAAATGCCAAAAAAAAAAAAAAAAAAGAAGAAGCACACCTACTCAAGACATCTAAACACATATGGAAGTATGAAATGAATAAAAAAAAGTGTAACAATCTCCACACAGAGACCCAGCTGAGATGGTTTGGGATGAGTTGGATTAAATGAATAGCAGCCAACAAGTGCTTAACATATGTGAGAAAGATGTTATCAAAGCATACTCTAAGATTTAACATACTTTGATTTGTTCACACTTTTTTTTCTTTCTTTTTTTTTAGGTCATAAATCCATATGTGTTGTTTTATTTCAAAGTTTTGGTGTCTTGTTCTATAGGAATAGCAAAAACCTTTGAATGAGAAGGTGTGTCCAGACTTAACTCTCAGCAGTAACTCTCTGTCCTGCCTTGACTTATGTATGGAGAGCATTCCCCGCTCAAAGTATTGATCAGTCATTCCTCCACTGAATGTGCAGCTCAGGAGGAACTAATCAGCGAAATCAGTTGCTTCAGTTCTCGTCCAGGGCAAGAACCCGCGCGCTCTTGGCCGTCCTAATACTAACGCGTGGCTTGATAATCAACAATGTGCCTCAGCTAATAAGAAAGCGAAATAACTCCACATCCTGCCACCAACCTCCCGTCTCCCGATGAGCCTCTGCATGGCTCTAATGACACACACCCCTAGCTTTGGGTCAGATAATTCCATTTTTGTTAGTGTATAAATTGACAAATGATTAGTTAAACAGGGATTTTATTAAGCAGATGATTTCGCCTCAGTTGGCTGTAATTGGGCTGAACAACTCAGCATGTCGGCAGTGGAAACACACACACACACACACACGCACCATCACACATTCATCTATAAGCAGTAAATTGTTGGCCCCTCATGCTCTGTAATTAGTTGTGCTGATACCACAGGGCCTGTTTTGTTTTGATTCATCAGACAGGGCCTGATTCTGTTTTTGGATGCTAAGTGACAACTGCCAGGAGACCACATGGTAGATTGAGGTTCCTTGCACGCCCTCTCCCACATCTGACAGGCTTATCATGTCTGCCGCTGTGCAGTGCTGTTGCATCTGCAATCAGTGTGCATCCACTGTGGAGCCCGTAAGTGAACAGGGAGGAGATTAAGGTTAAGTGATTTTTCCTTATGTGTGTGTGTGTGTTTGTGTATATGTGTGTGTGATAGGGGTGTGATTTTCAAGGGGACAACTATTGGGATGGCACCGCTGGAGGGGATGTGCAGCCTGGAAAACTCTGGAGGCATCAATGTGGTACGTGGTAATACATTTCTCCTCATTTCTTCTCCCTGATCTGTTGTTCTTTCCTTTTTCCCCTCAATCTTTTTCCTCCAGCTTGAATCCATCCTCTATCGATTGTCTGTGTTTTGGTGTATTGAGAGCCGCCTCCAAAATGTGGACTTGTTTTTATCACTTCCACATTTTGCATTTTGGTTTTAAGATTCAATTAATTGATTAGGGTAAAGGGTGACAGCTAAGGGTATAGAGGCGAGAGGTTAAGGCTGCACCAATCGATATTTATATATTAACAATAGATCAAATGTCTGTGTAACGCTTATAAGGCCATAAAGAATTATCTGCAAACTCTGCAACTCTGCTTTGTAGCCTCTATTAGCTAAGATGCCTCCACTCAGCTGTCATCAACCTGGTGTCCAGCAGCAGGAGGAAGCTGTTTGCAATTAAGACGCTCTGATAAATCCAATGCCTGCTCCCGACTCAGCTCCAAACAACAAACAGACACAATCAGAGAGCGCAGCGTAGCATTTAGCAGCTAAAGAGGCAGATTTTCTTCTCAGAAGTTGGTGGAGACTAAATTGGAGCTAAAAGTAGGGACTCATATTATCAGGTGGATGCAAACGTGACTTTAGGCAGCTGTTGCGCTCTGGCTGCTGGATGTGTAAATGAGTATACAACAGTAGTGAGAACAGGGACGTAGACACTGAACCTTTTCCATTAACCTTGCGATGGATGAGAATAACACCTGTAACCATGGTAACTGTACAAAAAAGATAGCAACAGCCATGGCCCTCAAGATGCTTAGCAGATATAAAAATTAAAAATGCAAACATGAGACTGAAATGTCACGGAGGAGTACTCGACTTGGATGTTTTTAGTTTTTAACTCTCTGAATTTCAAGCGGTGGATGTATGGTCTTGGCTCCTGTTACATTTTCTTCACACTGTGGCCTCATTTTCCCCCACAATATAAAGTCCTGCACCTTCATGGAAACAGCACAACCATGGTTAGAAGTTGAGAGATTTTGGAATATTTTTTTTTCAAGAGCCCACAAGTGCCTACTAAAACAAAAAAACAACCTGCAGTTTGGCAAACACTTGTGAATGTTGGCTGCAGCTGAGTCCATTTTTTTGTTGTTTTTCATAGAACTAGTGCAAATAGTTTATTATTTGTGAGTTTTTACATTTTCCAGACAGACTAGCGTGTCACAAATGGTTAGTTCAAGGGCCACTGGAGAGTTAAGACTTTGGCAATTCTCTCCGTTTTTACAGGTTCTGGGTGGCAGATGGTGTTATTTTTGGTGACTTGTTCTTTTGACGATACCGTGTCTGTCAAACCCACTAGTGGGTGTTCGTGTTCAGAAGGTGAAAAAAGTTTCAATCAGCTTACAACACACCATTTTTCGTTTATCAAAAAGTGGGCAGGGCTCTTTAGATTTTTTTTTTTTGTACCTTATGCAACGACCACACAGTCAAAGACCCTGAGATGACATTTTCTTGCAACCATTGACCGAAGCTCCTGTTCCGTATCTGCAAGATTTGATGCACTGCATGGTTGCCACATGATTGACTGGTTGTATGAATAGGCCAGTATAAAGTCCTCAGAAAGCACAGAAACTCTTTGGAATTACTTTTTCTTCCATTATGACCTGCTTTGACTTATCAAATTCACTCAGGCATTCTGAGTTTGCTATTTATAAGGAGCATCTGCTGGTGTGAACTATGGCTCAGAACAAAAATGATTTTAGAGGACTGACCATCAACACCTGTATACAGCCAGAATGTAAGAGTTTCTACAGGATATTCATCAGTCCGCATTTAGACAAACTGTCAGTAAGTGGAGGTGATTTAGTTTTGTGGCTCCCTAGATGTGGGAATCCAGCTAAGATGACTCAGCACAATGGGGAATGATTAATGGGGTTAAAAAGAAACCCATCATCTTAACATCTCTGTTCAGAGTCCACCATACGTAAATCATGTTGCATTGAGAAACTGAAGGTCATATTCAATTTTATGAGCAATTCATGCAGAAAACCTTCAAAACTCCAAAGGCTTTGCATACTTTTTCTCGTCGCCGTATGTCTTTGCGGTAAGCTCAGCTAATCTCTTGTTGCATTCAGCTACTTTGCTACACTCAGACCCAAGAATGATGTCGATCTACTCGTCTCATTCTGGACAAGAGAGCAAATATGCTAGTTCTCAAAATATAAACTACTCTTTAACAGATTTGAACGGATAAAAAGGAAAAGGTTGTTTTTGTGTTGCCTAGTTTCAAGATTGGTGTGACTCTTTGAAAAAAAGAAAAAAACAAGGTCATCTCTCAGTGGATGTTTGGGATATCAGTTTGACAGCCGTGCAGTCCACTTTTCAGACGTGGTTCCTGTCAGCTCTTGCTGAAAAATAGATTAAATATCTCGCCATGACAAGTCAAGATCAGTTACGTTGAGACACGTTTGATAATCGAAAGCAATTGCTGCTTGACAGGAAAATTCCTGGATTAAAAAATAAACATTTAATCATCCTTAAATACAGGAAGATGTAGTCTGCTATTTTGGTGTCATTTTTTTCAGTTTATTTTCCTCATAAACTTATTCTCAAACATCTGAATATAGCCAAGTTTTATTTCCTGACTAAATGAGCTGATCTCATGGAGAAAAGGCACTACACATGCTTAGGATCAGCACAATGTGGAGCTACATTAAGCAAATCTTAAGGACCTTTTCTAGAAAGTCTTGGCTACACTCAAGTCTCTCCTTGTGGCAGCTTGAAAGTATCCACTCTGTAGCAGCATTCAGCCTGTTCAACTGTATGCCTCCACATATGAGTGCAGCAGTGGACTGAATGGCCAGAGAGATCGATAGCTTTTCCAAGCTTGATTAGCTTCTAATAGGGTCTTAGCTGTCCTGTGGGCAGAGGCAGCCTGTAGAATCCAAATGTCCTGTGGCTGACAAGCACAGTCCCAGCGCGCACACACACACACGCACACACTACCTCTGTGGTTCAGCTCTCAGAGCAATAAATAGCATGTGAAGGATTTCACTGCAGAACATCAGCATTTCCAGACAGTTAACACATCCCCATTTTATACAGTATGCATAATTCAGAAGCAGAGCTAAGAGTGAATGACAGCTTTCATCGGATCAAAGAGGAGCTAAATACATACGAATACTGTCACTTCTGTGTGTGTTCACGCAGCTTTATCCTTGTGAGTTTGACTTTTTTACCTTTGAAACTGGGACACTGTAGCTGTTTCTTACTTCTTTGGGAGTTTAGCTTCGAGTTTACATCATCCAACTACTTCAAACATTTGCAGTGATTATGCATACAGCGTATTTATTTTTTGGTTAAGTGTTTCAGTGTTGAGTTGCCTTTTAACAAAAGCTTAAATGCTTCTGCCTCTTGGCCAGGTCGTTATTGTAAATGAGAACCTGTTCTCAATTAACCTGCCTGGTTAAATAAAGGAAAATAAATAAATAAATTCTGCATTGCAAAAATCACCATCTTATGAACCCATTATGAACTACAGCAGTGGTGTGACTCCGATATATCCGATATATCTTCAGTGGTTGTTGAAATATCTCAACAGCCATTGGATGGAACACCACAAAATTTAGTGTAGACCTTAATGTTAAAATAACATTGTTGATTCTGAATCGTGCAGCACTTATGAACAAATGCGTGCAAAAGTAGTAACATTGCAGTCAGGTGGTCTCTTGGCCCAGTTGGTTGCTTTCTTATTTTAAACAATGTAAAATATAGTTCGTCAGTCTCAGAATTACTATTGTTTGTGTTGCTAGGCAACATCAGGATGGGATTCATGAGCCTTGGCCAATGTTATAATGCTGATAAGTTGTAAAACTCAAAAAGACTAATTTTCACTGGTTGCTGTCATTAAGAAAAGAGAATAGTGGAAAAATTAGATTTTACTAAAGCTGTGTGTCCAGTGGAGATAAGTTTACAAGGTGTGCTCTCTCACACTTCTGTTATTTTGCTCCTCTGAATAAGTCTTCTTAAATTTCCTCTTCCCGTTGTTCGTTGATTTTGAGTTTCAGATTTCCATTTAAATAGGATGAATATTTTAAAGTTTGTTTTTTTTTGGCCTTTCTGCCCTTATTTGACAGACAGTAGAGAGAGAGACAGGAAAGTAGGGAGAAAAATTGGGGAGGGACCTGCAGCAAATGGCCATGGGCCGAACTCGAACCCACAACCGCTGCGTCGTAGACCACAGCCTCAGTACATGGGTCGCCAGCTCAACCAACTGAGCCATAGCGGCGGCCCAATAGGATGAATATTTAACCAGACTTTTGTTGCACCCGCAACTCCAAGCTCTTTACAAGGGTGGAGTCAATGGGTGGCCACCACAGACTTAAGTCAGGTCACCCCACACAACCAATAGGGAAGCCCATTAGAGGGCTACACACACAATCATACAACTGGAGTTACATCCAGTAAGTATGATTTTTCGAGCAGAACTTTTTTCGGGAGCCATTTTTCAGCAGATGTTGTTCCCATCCCCAGATGCATTTTAACAGGACTACCACCTCAAATTCAGCCACATACACCCAGGTGGTTCTGACCAACCAGAAAATGCTTACACTGATTTTGTAAAAGCTAAAGATTTTGTATTATTGTCATAGAATCGTGTATAAACAGGATACAAATGCATTTTTTATATATCAAAAAAGAATACGTTTGTACATCTGTTGATCAGTTTCAGTGTTGTTTATGTTTCATTGGAGATTTAGTTGAAGCTCTTGTACAGACTTAAAGACTGTAGAGATGAAACCTACTTTAAAGAACTCTTGAAAAAAGCGGTGCATATGATAACCAATGCAGAACCAACCAAGAACCTGCAGCAAAAAGACAGAAACAAAGAGACTACATGGACATACTATATTGATGTAAGCATTTTTCATGTGCTTGTCTTGTATAATTGAAATTATAAATATCTTATATTTTTTTAAATGGAATATTTTAAGCAACACTTTAAGATTATTTTAATCAATTGAAGGGCCACATAGAAAGCTTTTTATACTGTACATGAGTGTACATGAGTACTACTTCTACATGGAAGTGTTTCCTGCATAAGCAAATAATGAGAGTGAGTGACCAAAACAAGACTAGTTGGCCTGCAGCAGTATGCTGGGAAAAAAAAATCTGTGCCACGGGCCATTTAGCCAGAGGCTCAGCTGTTTTAACTTACATTTTAATACAGACTGATACATTTAGAATGGCAGACACCAAACACCAAGGTTATAGGTGTCCAGTTTAACTGTCCCTATTCTAAAAGTTAATCCACACCTTTTGATCACATGTAATTGACCATTGTGTAAATCTCATGTTGACATTGTCACTGTGAGCTTGTTAGCATAGATTAGCATTTTGCTTCTCCAGAACAGCTAGCATGACCGTAGGCTCTTTGGGGTGTTTCAAGAGTGTGTAATCGAAGTGTAATCTTACTGCTGAATATTATTAGTCATAAATCTACAGAAACTGACATACAGTGATACAGTTATTTGGAAATTGTTGTTGTAATACAAGTGACATCATTTTGAGTTGCACTGAATGAAGATGAAATGCTGTTTGTTCAGTTTTGTCACGTTTCAGTCGTCCATGAGCTGTCAAAGAGACAGTTGTTCTGTAAACTTGTCATTCTTTGTTATTTGAGATCCAAAGAGGTCAGGTTAGAATTAGTGTAGGAGCCGTTTATGTTTATCGGTGGCATGTCATTTAATATGGATTGTTTGGACACATGGTGGCGGTAATTGGACACAGGGTGTATATGTAGAGGGCACAGGTGACAGGAAGAGGAAGGCACAGGTAGGGGGAGAGCCAACAGTTCTCATCAGACCAGCACAGATATATACCAAATTCACCATCGGAAAACCGCTGTATTTTCATTCGTTGCATATCATCAAATAAACCATCCACTAAACGGCAAGTATACAGACTGGAAATTCTGTTTTTGGTCTGCGTTGGGTCACTCTGCTCCACCTGTGCAATATTGGCAATTAAAGAACATTAGGAAATTAGAAAATTGCAATTAGATTGTTAACTAAGCTCACAATAATTTGAATTGTTACAGTATTTTTATAATGTTGTATCGGTGCTTTAGTCACTCTAAAGGCTTTGAGTTGTTCCTCTATCACTTTCCTTTAACACACCATACCTGTCAGTGCGCACATGTTATTTGAATCACATAATTGACACAGATCTGCGTTTCCCCTGCAGGACCACTCGGAGCTGTCCATCGGCGCAGCGGCTACCATGGCTCACGAGATCGGCCACAACTTCGGCATGAGCCACGACCACGACGGCTGCTGCGTGGAGGCCACCGCCGAGCAGGGAGGCTGCGTGATGGCTGCTGCCACGGGGTGAGCCTCAGGCGTTGCATGAGGCTACAGCACAAACCTGCTTGCGCTGAGATGCTGACGCTAACAGCTTGACATACGAATAACAATTCCATCAGCTGAAAGGGGAAAACAAATTACATATTAATGCGGCTGCCTTAAGAAATCTTTTTGTCACTTGAGAGTTTTGATTTCCCTCCGATATCAAAACACCAAACTTTTCTACTTTTCATCACAGTAATAATTGATTTTTAATCAACAGTTTTCATTAAAGCTGCATTTCCCATGTTTTCCTTCATGGAATTACTAAGAAACCGAATGAAACAAAACAAATCCTCTTGTTTGGTGTCCTACAAACCCTCAGAGCACTGAGTAGAAACATTAGAAAACTGCTGTTACATTGTACCAGACAAGGCAAGAAAAGATTAGTCTTTATATTAGGGCTGCAACTATCATTTAATTTTTTTTAATCAGCTAATTATTTTTTTTTCTCTGCCAACAGGATATAACTGAAAATTATTTTGTTGACTTCAACCAACAGCAAGCATTCTCAAAATAAAGAACCTGGAAGAAGCTTTTGCTAATGACTCAAACAGTGAACTAAGCAGAACAGTTGCAGATTCATTTTATGTTAATTGACAAACTGACTAATCAACGAGTGGCTGCAGTTCTAATGCTTGGTATATTTTTGCAAAGTTTACTTTCCAAAAGTGAAATAAAAATTGTCCCTGTCCAGGCACCCATTCCCTCGAGTCTTTAGTCGCTGCAGTAAACGCGACCTGGACAGCTACTTCCAGAAAGGAGGGGGCATGTGTCTTTATAACATGCCCAACATGAAGGACCTGGTGGGGGGCAAGAAGTGCGGCAATGGCTTTGTGGAGGACGGAGAAGAATGCGACTGCGGAGAACCTGATGTGAGCACCTTTGTTCATTCGTATTTGTTCACACTTCCTCAACTACAAATAGTAAAATTGGCATTGCATCTGCAAATAAATTCTAGTCATATGTTATTTTTTTGAGAATCATATGGTTTTTGTTTAGTTACTGTGGCGTTTTTCCACACCTCCTCAGACAATGTTTGATTTCCGTTTATTTGTAAATGGAATTATGGAAGAGGCTTACAGAGACTTTGTCGGCTGATTTTCACACTGTGCTAAAATGAATAGAAAACAACATCCTTCTGTTGACAAAATAATCTCACCATAAAAATCCACTCAGTAGCTTCCTAACAGCCTCCCTCAGCAGAACGAGCTGCCGTGGTATCATGGTAATGTTAAATTCCTATTCCTCTGAGCGCCCTATAGACTTTTCATCCATGGATTCTCAGCCATTACCTGGTCCTTCATCATGCTTCCAGTCGTAATGCTAAGCTACCCAAACCTCCTCCTGATCCAAGTTTTGTTAACACAGAAATGTGAAACTGATGGTTATCTTGTGACCCTTTGATGTCTTATTCTGTTATAAAAAGGTGCCATTTTTTTCAGAGGAATTATTTTGACCAGTATCCCTGTCTCTGAAACTAAGAGGCCCCCTATCGCGTGATGCTGCTACCTCCGTGCTTCACTGTAGGGATTCATCTGGTGATGTAGAGTACCTGCTGCTTGCCACACGTTGTGCTTGGAGTTTTACTCAAGCACTTCAGTGTTTGTCTAATCAGACCAGAGACTTTTTTTTTTTCTTTAAATGCAGTTTGGCAGACTCCAACATGCTGTTATTTACCTTGTACTCAGAGAAGCTTCTATCTAGCTGTCTAACGATAAAGGCCTGATTGAAAAAGTGCTGCTGGGATTGGCGTCTGGCATGTTCTCTCCATCTTTGCCAAGAACTTCTGAGACTCTTATCAAGGGACCGTTGGCTTCTAGGTCACCTCCCTGACCAAAGCCCATGTTGTTCATTTACTCGGTCAAATGGCTGACTGTGCTAAAGGCAACAGACAGACATGCAGTCGTGGTCAGATTGTTCAAAGTAGACAGAAGTTGCAACTGAATATCAATACAATACAATACAATAACAATTATTATTTGTTTATATGTCATAGCTGGAGCATGTAGCTATTTTTACCCTTTCCTTGATGTTGTATCTTCTGTAGCCGGCCGCCATCGCAGCCTCATCATTCATGCGCTCTGCATCCCAATTGTGCAACACAGCTGAAAGATTGCTGAAAGTTTCCTCAAATTGGGATGAAGTGTTTGCGCTCAATAAAGCCAGAGGTTAAGTAAACCTCCTTTGGTTCGAGCAGCAGAGCAAATTGAAACAGAGGAAGCAAATTGGTAGCTGACAGCAGCGGCGGCGCTGACGAGGACTGCTTGTTATGACTCCCACGCAGAGCGGAGCTGACAGTCAGGCACGGGCTGCTGACAAGCCACCTGTTCGTAGCATTGCAAATGAGACGAGCTACAGAACGCTGCTTAATGGGCTCACCTTGACAAACATATGGGTGTGGCGCTCCAGATTGTAAATGAAATGCAATCCCCCCCCCTCCTCTTCTTGTTTTTCAAGTTAGAATGCATCCGAACTCAACTCTTTCACAACTTTTAAACTGTAAAACTAGATGTGTTTATTATTTTGAAAATATAAATGTTTTTTCAAATGTGCATGTGGAACCAAAGAAGGACATTTCAGTTTTAGAATTCAAGCAACTCTGGCTCAGGCTTGCTGTTCAAATGAACATCACTCTGCAAACAAGTTAGTGATTTTTGTTGTTGTTGTTGTGTTCACCCATAATCCCCTCTTCGTTCTTTCCTGCTGGTATAATTGGCTTTTCTTTCTCTTGCTTGAGTCAACTCCCACATTTGTTTTTAGCATAACCGTTGCTCTGCTCAGGGCACCATGGCAACGGGAGATGTTGTTTTTGTCTACGCCGTATGACACGGGAACAGCAGCAAAGTCACATCTTTTAATTTTATGTTTTTTTTTCTTCCTACCAACATCTGTTGAGATTGTGACTTGTCAGTCACACTTGTCAAACCTCTGTTGCTTTGAACAAGTGTGTATGCAAAAGTGTGTTTGATGACAGCTGCTTTTTAATGAGTCACACTGTAAAAAAGTTTGTGTTTTTGGTTCATTATCAAGAACTCTCCAGTAAATTGCCTCAATGGACTTTTTGTAAGTAACGATAGTCAGTAGAATTTGAAAGAAATCTTTAGACTTACTAACATTAATGACTGATTATTTATTATCTAGACTGGAATTTGCCAAAATGCATATTGGCAAGCCACACAGCTTGTAGAAAGAATGCCCTTCGGACAGATGAGACAAAACTGGAGCTTTTCAGCATGTGACATCAGCTCTGAAGCAAAAATGAAGCATGCAAAGAAAAGAACACTGTACCTACTGTGAAACATGGTGGAGGCTCGGTTATGTTTTGCTTTGCTACATCTGGCACAGGGTGTCTTGAATCTGTGCAGGGTACAATGAAATCTCATGACAATGAAGGCATTGTGGAGCGAAATGTGCTGCCCAGTGTCAGAAAGCTTGATCATGGGTCCTCCAACATGATAATGACCCAAAACACACAGCTAAAAACACCCAAAAATGGCTAAGAACAAAACATTGGACTAGTGACCTTCTATGAGCCCTGATCTAAATCCTATTGAACATCTGTGGAAGGAGCTGAAACATGCCATCTAGAGAAGGCACCAGTCAAACCTGAGACAACTGGAGCAGTTTGTTCACGAGGAGTGGGTCAAAATACCCATCGATAGGTGCAGAAGTCTCACTGACAGCTACAGAAACCGTTTGATTGCAGTGATTGCATTAAAAGGTCGTGCAGCAAAATATTAAGTTATGGGTAGCATCGTTTTTGTCCAGGCCTGTTTCATTTGTTTGTTTTTTAAAAAATGATTCTGTTGTACCACAATTCCAAAGCAATGTCTGATTTATACAAGTTAATTTTTAGTAAATTTGTATTTATTATTATTGCATTTGTCAGTTATTTTAGTGACAATATTGGGTTTTTCTTTTTTTTTTTTTAACAGAAGGCTACCAACAATTTTGTCCACATGTGTACGTTACTATGCAAATTGGAAATAATGCAATCGCTGTAAGGTGATACAGGTTGTAATCATTCAACAGTTAAGTCATATTGCACAGAGGTGTATTCACTTCTGTTGTATGCTGTATGTTTGACATTTGTATGTTGTTTTACGCTGCATTAATGGCATGCCAGTATTTAAATCTCCTCGTTCCTTTTATGAATAATTAAGTGCTGTGGTAATAAGCCTGTATTACCACAGCAGTAATAAAGGAGCCTTTATTAATGTCTGACCACCTTTTATACCTGCTGACTTGAGGTTTATTGCCATTAATGATTTTTTTTAATAAAGATTTTTAGTTGCAGTTCAAAAGTTTATTATTAATTAATGTCCTACGAACGTGTGAAACCGCTAAATGGGTGGCTTGTTAGACGGTGAGAATCTCTTGATCATATTTAATGACTCAAAAGGTCGAGAGATTTTTCACAACCCAAACACCGTTCTTGCTAGTGGCGCTTTATTTATACAGCAATATGATCAATTAACATCAATAAAATCATTGATTACCACAGATTTATTGGAAAATGTTACCTTTTGATGCACATATGTTGAAGTAGAGGTGAGCTCAGGTGGACAGGGATTGGGCGTGTGAGTGTGGATTTGGTTTTAACCTTAATTGCGGTATTAAATGCGTGTGTTTGACTATTTGCAGGAATGCACCAATGACTGCTGCAATGCCAATAATTGTACCTTGAAGGAGGAGGCTCAGTGCGCCCATGGAGTGTGCTGCGAGGGCTGCAAAGTAAGACACACACACACACACTCACGCACACACAAACTCATGTGCAGGCAGCGTGGCGTAGGAGGGAGCTCACCTCGTTTGCAGTAGTAGCTCGGTATCATTAGTTCACTGTCAGTCATCATGTCAGTGTGTTGACATACTGTACCCACAGCGCGTGTCAGCTTCCATCACAGCGCAGCTCGTCGCCTTCACATCACGCCAGCACTTTTCATCTCTGCTCTCATCTCGCTGTTCAAATGCAGATCCTGACATCCCATTGTAATACACAGAACTGTGAAACCAAATTCTACTGAGCTTTAATCTGACAGAAGAGACAAAACACTGAAGATGGCAATAACTTATGCGCCGTCTGCAGAAGAAGAGCTGTTTCACCTCTTGTTGTTTCTCTGTTGAAATTCTATATCTTTTAATACAAATGTTTCCTCTCCGTGATGTATACTGTATTGCATATATCATTTTTTTTTACATACTGCACTTAGCGGGTATAATATTTCTTTAACAACAAAATAATACTGCATATCTATTTTCTATCTTGTGTACTTTTCCTCATATTTTTCACATATTTTACCTGATGTCAGTTTTATTTCCTTCCAAAATGACCCCTAAAGCTGCACTAAAGAATATTTCTATATAAACGATGCCTCAAATGACCATGTGCTCTATATCTGCTGAATGTGTGGATAAATATGCAGCTGTTTGCTTATGTTACGCCCCTCTGCACACCTAATGGCCTTGCGGTGGCAATGCAAGAGTTTTTGGGTGGTACATTATTGTCCACACATAAGCAATGTTTTTATCTTTTCCTATATTTCTGCTTTTTCTGCTGCTCCCATCAGATAATGAGTGCAGCTTTAATGAAATGACAACTAAAGTCCTGTCTTTCTGCTATCCACAACAAAGAAGATATACTAGAAAATGTATCATGAAAATAGTGGAGAAACCATTTAAAATTTCATTCCAATTGTTATGGCATATTTAAAAAAAGAAAAGTTAAATCTAGTCAAGTGGGCACTAAACGTTTTAAAGTTGTTCAGTTGGTGAAAAATTCTGGGCCATGGTGTTACGTTACCTCTTAGTTAGATATGACTTTTAAGTACCATATTGTTACCAGTGCACTTTAAAATGGAGATGTATTTAAATGATGCTGCTTTAAAGATGACAGGAGAAAAATGAGAACAAGATAATTTAATAAAATATTACATTCTATGTGTTTTTTTTCAGTATAGAATTTTTTTTTTTCAACTGTGAGCTTAACAGTGTTGCTTCTCAGGAAAACAGAGAGATCATCAGTTGTCTACCAGGTGGTTTTTAACCTGTTCCCTTATGTTAAATAGACAAGCTCAAGTTTAATAAAATATCACATGCTGCGTTTATATTTTTGTTCAGTATATTAACAAAAAAAAAAAGCAAAGTACTGAGTCTGTCTCGTGGGTGAAACCATTTTAGAGGTTTTTTATTTACCTGAGATTACGACACTATTTGATTTGAAGTGCATTGTCGTAGATATTTTTTATTTAAAACTTTAATGTAGAGCTCCATTTCAATTTAATATGAAGTTCTTCAGATTTGAGCAAAGCTTGCCAGTTTGCAAAGCTGACCTTGCATAGTTTAAGACAGCAGGTTGATTTATTCCACTGCTTAAATATACCATAATACTATTGTCCTCTGTTCATATCTGGCTACTTATGCTTACTGTTAAAATCATCATTTTGACCCCATTTTCCTCTGCTAATGGCCAGAACAGCCCGCTGTGGGGCCCTAGAGTAAAAATGAGCTAATGGGCCCTTAGTGACACCCCCTCCCTCCCACTTTCTCGGCAAAATGTTGTAATATACATGGCACTGTAATTGTATTGTGTCTAAAGCCCCAGGTTCCAACCATTAGCTCTGTCCTGGAACACGACCTGGCCCCGGGCTTTTTATAGTGCCATTAGATTGTAATGATTTACCCCGGTTAAACACCAAATCAACTCAGATAATAACAAACTTGTGTTTGCATTCTGGCCACTGTATACAAAAAGAATCTCTGTATCGTCTCTGTGAGATGTAACACAACAGACAGTGATCTCCATGTCTTGTGCTCCCCTCCTCCCTCCACTGCTTGTTCCCTGTCTGTGCCAGTTGAAGCAGGCAGGTACCATGTGCCGGGGGCCAGCGGGGGCATGTGACCTGCCAGAGTACTGCACCGGGGCATCTCCTTACTGTCCTGCCAATGTCTACCTGCTGGACGGCTCCTCCTGTCAGTACGGAGTGGCCTACTGCTACAATGGCATGTGCCTCACCCACGAACAGCAGTGCCTGCAGCTCTGGGGCTACGGTAATGAAAAGACTGTCACCACACGGCACACACAATATTACAGGGATACGCCGCACATGCCCTCAGATCAGCTTTTGTGTAAACATTCTAAAATCAGAAATTTAGCAGTAGAGGTTTTGAAAGTCAGTGCATTCATTCTAATAAATCATTACAAGTGCAGTTCCAAACCGCTCTAAACTTTTCGGCTCGCACATCTGACAGCAGTCGTACTGTACTGCGTGTCAGAGTTGATAAATACAATGCATAAATTGAGCTCAGACGAAGCTGTCAAAATAAACACCCATCAAAGCCAGACGTTCTTGTTCCTTTTCCCTCTCAGATGTGAAAGCTGCATTCACAAGCATGACAGTGTTTGTACAGCAGCACAATAGATAAAAGCGACATGTTGACTTTTAATATGCATCATCCTACTTTGGCTTCGCTTTGAGACTTGGTGCCAGCGTTTGGAAAAAAGTCATGATATTATAAAGATGCCATGTCATTTTATGGAAATGGGTAAAAAAAAACTGATTAAAATTCATATAAAATAATCATTAAAATACAAAATATCGTTGAAATCAATCAAAATATTTCCTAAAGTATTCCACGTCTGATCTCAAAACCAACCTCATTCCCTCTCTTCAGTTGCCTCATTAGTCCACTATGTTTATCAGCTTACATTTTTAGCATAACAGTACTTATCAGTTCAAGGTTTCAGTTTTTTGTCAGTGGAGTATCAGATTTGTCTCTGTTGTCCCTAGCACAGAAGTAGCTGTGAGATTTATGGAAAACTATTTTATAGATTTTAATGCTGGTCCTTAATCATTGTCATGCACTTTTTAAAAAAATAACAAAATAAGAGTGTTGTTAGGACAATCTAAAGCAAAACCCAAACAAACAACGTTCTGTAATAGCCTCGTTATTCAGACTAGTAAGCTGAAGTTTAATGAATTTATCTTTAATTAAAAACATTTCCGTATACGATTGAAACCTCGTTGACTCATTTTGGATTTCGCAGAAATGTGACTGAAACTGTCCTGTTTGCTGCCCACGGCTGGCTGTGAGTCTGATTGTTTCCCTTTCCTTAAATAAATGCCTGCATCATTACACAGCAGCAGAAATGATGAGCGGTTCTTTAAATTGAAAGTGTTGTGTGCATTTACAAATGTGGCGTACTGCATTTGCCTGTTCCAGATCCCAGGTTTGTAGGGTGTAATTATTTGTTTTAAAACTTCTCTGTATGAATCCTGAGTTCCCACAGAATTGTCAGTGTTTTTTTGCAACAAGCCTGCCATTGAAGCCAACTTTATATTTTAGTGTTTCAGTTATATTATGGGACTGAGCTTACAGAGGTGAACGCAGCTCAAACAAACCTGGGTCGCCCCCAATTTCTGACTGTGGATTACACCTTTGTCAGTCAAAATGCACTTCTGAACACATGACATGGCGTGAACGTGTAATGCATCCAGTAGGTATCTTTTATTCTACCTACCTGGAGTGTTGGTTTACAGTGCTGCTATCTGGCACTGCAGCTTTTTTAAGGTAGTTCCAGGTGCACCGGTCCCATTCTGTTCCAGAGGAGGACTCCGGTGATAATATGTACACAAATGCACCAGTAGCAATACACAATACATTTAGAAACAAGAACCACACACTCTGTGAGACAACAACCATGAATCAGACAACACTTTGCCAAAACAGCAACCTATAAAAGTGCATATCGTAGATTGAGGATTCCTTAAAATAAAGTGTAACTTAGTTTTTAATTCTCAGAAAAGTTATACACTGCTCATAATGTTTATATGGTATGGTGCAATGGTAAAAAAGATTCTGGCCCCAACTCAGTTTTGTGTACTATTCAGTATATGCTGGCTTTGTAGTGCAGAACTGGCAGCCGAATGTACAGTATGTGTTTAGCCAAGCTTCGCATAAAGACTGCAGGCAGAAGCTGCTCTCAGAGAAAACATCATCAAAACTGAAACAGGTCCATCTTCCAACATCTCCAGAGCTGTGTTGTTTACACATTGTGTGTTGCTTCTTTAACTTATGTAAAAACAGAAATAAAATTTCACCTTGTGATGCCTTGGACGACGTTAGATTTGGAGCTGTTCTTGAAAAACAGCTTGGCGCACTGACACAGCATCTGAAAAGGCCTGTTGCCAGGTTTTAGCTCTGCCGAAACTCCACTGTGAGCAAAACCCAGCTGACTCTTGATTCCACTGGATGAAATTGATATTGATCTTTTCATCTGATTTTGGCTTTGATACCAAACAAACATATTTCCCAGAATGTCTGGCTCCTCTTAAAATGTAATATTCGCCACACGTCTCCTAGGTGGTGCGGGTTTTGCACTGTTTGTATGGTTAGCGCTGTGATCTCATGATCATCAGTGCAGCAGACAGGTGGCTGGCCAATTTGTTGCCAAGAGCTTTGTGAGTCAGCAGAGGAAAACATAGCTAACACAGTTAACAAGAGTAAAAAAAATAAACAGCCTGTGTAAAGAGGGCTTATGAGGTGTGTTACGTTTCCAGGAGCTCGACCGGCCCATGATGCCTGCTTTGAGGATGTCAATGCAGCAGGGAACGCTTTTGGGAACTGCGGGAAAGATGAACACGGCAACTACATGAAGTGTGAGAAAAGGTAAGAGAAGGTGACACATCATAACACACAATAAAAAGCAGAACCTATCTACGTACTGCGAGGTACGTAATAGGACTGTCAGGGTTCATGACAGCAGATGCACATTCTTTTTGTTCAATCATTTTCTGCATCGGTTTTCATGATAGATCTCTTACTCCAGTGTTTCAGTAGAGTGCGGCTACATCTCATCACAAGCAAGTATGTGATGTACAGAAGTCCACTTGTACCTGGAAAATAAAACATTAAATGTTGCGAAATAGCAAAAATCAGTAACACTCAGATTAAGTCAAAATGATCAGGTACTTAATGGAACACTATCCCATAATGCTCCTTTTTTTTGTGGGTTTTTTTTTTCCAGACATATAGATGTGAGACAAAACAAAGGAAGTAGTTTTAATGAACTAATGCATTCAAGCCAGGAGACCAGTAAAAATCATCTGATGCACTTCAATATATAGCATAATATTTTACACAATAAGGAATAAACAACAAGATCGATTCACATAAGAAACCCTATTATTCTCTATGATTCTAAATCTATGCACAAATTGATTTTTCTTTCTTCAACTTCCGCATTTATCCTTTAATGTATGCTACCCCAAACAACATTCATGGTGCAAAAACTGTGCTCCATATAACTACCAGTATTCACACACAGGTATTCTGCACTGCACCTTTAAACCTAAAAAATATTGAAACATTTTATTAAAAGTCATTTGCACGTCTGTTGTGAGGCACACACTACAGCAAACCACAGTGCACTAACTGCAAATATAAGCTGCTTATTCAGATTTAATTGTTTTGCTGTTCTTATCTTGTTTCCATTCTCTGTCCTATCACAATTTGTTGCTGTGCCATGTTTCAAGTCTTTATTTCTTTGAATGTCTGTTGTTGAATCTGTACTGAGAGCTGGTGAATACCAAAGCAAAGTTGTTGTGTGTAATTACATGCATATTTTAAGGCGCCAGTTTTGGATGAGGTTTGCCCTGAAAAGCTAAAGGCTCTGGACACTATTGAGCTGTCTTGGCAGACAAAATGTCCTGTGGTGGTCGGGGACAGTGCCTGTGAAATGGCAGAGTCGGATGATGGTTCCCATTTTCAAAACAGGGAACCAGAGGGTGTGCTATAGTTGTTTGGGTATCACACTGCTGGGTCTTCTGAGGTAGGTCTATTCCTGGGTGCTGGAATGGAGGCTCAAACTGCCAAACCTCAAATTCCGGAGGAACAATGCAGATTCCATCCTGGCTGTGAAACAGTAGACTAGCCTTTACCCTCACAGAGTTGCCAAAGTGTTCATAGGAATTTGACCATCCAGTTATGTGTTCTGTGGACTTACCCAATAGGGGATGCTGAGCTAAAAGTGCAGGGTACTGAAATCTTAGCCTGGAACCATCTGGTCCTGTCTGTAGTATCCATGGACAGAAGCTCAATAAGCAGCCAGGGGAAGAAGTTGTCTGGTTTGGGAACCTCAGAGTTGCATCTCTGCTTTTTGTAGATGTTGTGGTTCGGTTGGCTTCATAGTCAGGCCATAATCTAGCTAGCTGACTGTTTTCTGCAGAACGTGAAGCGACCAGGATTAGAATAAGCACATCCAACTACGTTGTACTGAACTGTTGGGGTGAAGAGGGAGCTAAGCCAAAAGGCAAACCTCTTGATTTTCCAGTTGGTCTACCATCCAAACCTCACCTGTGATCAAGAGCTCTGGGTAGGGGCTGAAAGAATTAGGTCATGGATGCAAGCAGCCAAAATGAGTTTTCTCTGTAGGGTGTCTTGGAGAGATTTCAAATCTCAGCTGCCCCAGGAGGAACTTGAAGATTTTGCTGTGGAGAGGGATTCCTGTAATGCCCCAAAAGAAAATAAAAGGATGATATACATACCGATTCTGATTTTGCAGTGGATTAGTTTGAACATCACAAACTCTGGAAAATGATTTATTTTCAGAATTCAACACAATTAGTACAAAAACATTTGAAAAGTTTGGAAGAACAATGCAAAAAGTTTATCTTGTCCCCTTCATGTGTGTGGGGAGCTAATGGGAAGTCAGCCATGTTCTCTACTGGCTTCACTATGAAGGATGCTAATCAGCATGCTCTGTGGGCTCAAAGTTGTGAAAGTATGCCGAACAGCAAACACATCATGGAGGAGCATGTGCCACTAAGCAACTTTCATTTGAATGATTTTTTGAATGCTGTAATCTGGCATCCAGTTCTCCTTATTAGCGCAATGCTATGTAAGCAAGTGTTTGCTCTTGTGTCAACTTTTTTAAACCCATCCATTCATTATTTATACAACGCTTAATCCTCACTAGAGTCACGGGGGGGCTGGAGCCTATCCCAGCCGACCACCAACCAGCGAAGGCATACAGAGACAGGCAACCAAGCACATTCACACGTAGGGACAATTTAGAAAGACCAATTAACCTCAACATGTTTTTGGACCTTGTGGGAGGAGGCCGGAGAACCCGAAGAGAACCCACGCTGCACGGAGAGAACATGCAAACTCCACACAGAAAGACCGGCGACCTTCTTGCTGCGAGGCAACAGTGCTACCAACTGCTCCACCTTGCAGCCCTGATAACCAGGCGCTGTAGTTTTACTGCCACAGTAATGTAGTCATGATAGCTTTGTTGCTGTTAGTAAGCACACCTTTGCTAAACTGCAGAATGCAGTGTTTCATCAGTCATCCTAACACACACCTGCACACACAAACCCTCTGTACACTGTCACCTCGGGCCTCAGAGAGACAGTTTCCATGGCACAGTGCCAGAGCTAATTAATGGAGCCAAATTAGTGACTTAGCCATGTAAATGAGCTCATGGATTAAGGTGGTTGACGAGTGCCTCGTATGATCCACCACTGCCCAAATCCATTATGGAGTCCCACAGGAGTCATTAGAGTGTTTTTCTGGCCACAGTGAGTCACAGGGCTGATTAGAGGATATGTAAATCTGCCTGGTATTAAGACGTATGAATAATCTACACACAGCCGCTATCTGTCCATCATTCTGTAATCTTCGTCATTTGTTTTCCTCAAGATAAGACGTGTGTGTGTGCGTATTTGCCATTTTGAATCTCCATATTAATGAAGAGATGTGAGCTCTGACAAAAACACTGTTAATGAGGGCTCCATACAAAAGACATCCAACTCTAAACTCACAACTTCTCTAATATTTGAAGCTGTAATGTCTAGAGGGGCACTTTTAACGCCTCACTGCACTCACAATGAGTATTATAAGTAGAGACAGAGTTATGGGCATTTCTTCTTGCCTGACTTTGGTGAAGGCGGAGGTTGTTGGGGTTGTATGTAACCCTGCAGACATAACTCATGGTTGATGTCTTTCATTAATTTTTCATTTAGTTATATATTTTCACTTTCTGATGACAGTGTGCAGTTAAAATAATGTCATGAAAATGCTCAAATTTAACATCAAAGACAGATAAAGCTGCAAATACAACAGAATTACGACATTTCTAATGCCATCATATTGCTATTATGTGTTTTTGTCCACATGGTATTCAAAATGCTATTAATAAGGAAAAGAAATTCAAAGTAGAAGTTTAATATATATATCATAAAATCATTATTATGAGGAAAATTGCAGATATGAAGTCTAGGCTGAAAGAAATGTTGTTGTCAAAGACCTTACCTGTTATTTATATTAACAAGTTTTTTCAGTTTTTCAGTTATGTTCAGTTGCACTCTAATCAAATTGCTGGCAGAGGAATTTGCCACTACACCACAACACAAGTCAAATAAGTCAAACTTTAGCTGAAAAATATTCAGAAACAGATAATGCATCTCTGTCTACTTCCAGCTGTTCCCACATGTGATGGCTGCTCACTAGCATCCCTAAAAAAAAAAAAGAAACAAACCAAACTCTGCTGAGTTGCCCTTGAAAAATGACGACTCATGTTTATGTGCTTGTATCTCTGCCCAGTGACGCCAAGTGTGGTAAGATCCAGTGCCATAGTGCTGCCAAGAAGCCCAAAGGCACCAACGCTGTATCCATCGACACCACCATCAAGACGGGTGGCATAGAGGTGAAGTGCCGTGGCACCTACGTGTACAGCACCCAGGATGGCCAGGGTGACTTGCCTGACCCTGGCCTCGTCATGACCGGCACAAAGTGTGGAGAGGGCAAGGTTGGTCCACACCAGACTGGGCTTTAAAGTCATTTAATTAAACTGTGTAACTGATAAATATGATTATTATAAAATGTGACTGAGCAGGATTTTTCTGCACTATGACTACAATGGAAGTCACAAAGCATTTGAAGCAGTGTTCTCAAGGCAATTTTCCAAATGCCAGAGCATGTGTTTCCAAGCTTCGGTCTAAATGTTGTACATCTTCAATAGGAGTTATAGGATCTTCAATCTGTACGTTCTGACTGTGGTACTGTTCTGTTTGTGTAGTTCACAATTGCTCAAGGATGATAAGACAGTCAAAGAGAAATCCCTGTTCAAGTGATAGGATGAAGTGTGCCCACATTCCCCAGTGCATGTAAACACACTTACAGTCGTATTATGCTGTAGTGCATATTGTACTGCAACTGGGAATACAATCTGGGAGTCCCAAGTGAAGGAGCTCTATCATCAAGGGATACAACTAGCTGTTTGTGATCCAGGGAGGGAGCACACACGGGGTTTATTAATGCAACCTGAGCCTTGTGTTTTTGCAATGTGCTTTCATGGCAGTTTGCATCGAATGCATTTAGGTGAAACTATCAAACATTGTATCAAACAATTTTGCATCCATTAAAGTGTCTATCGCCAGTTTATATTGCTAAGCGGAACCTATATGGATGGAACAGATGATTAGAAAACATTTAAATTTTGAGTTAAAAACCCCAACCTGGCAGTAACAGTCTTGACTCAAATGTTGAACTAACTGAGACCATTCTATCGATTGATATCAGTCCTATATCTTTTCTGTATATTCTGTTTGACTTAATGTGTGTTTTTTTTTAAATCTGGCTAAAAGAGTAAGAACATAATTCATTCCCATAAAGATAGTAGTCATTTGCTGGTGTTCCCATTACTATTAGTTACTCATATCCTCCTCCTGAATAAATAATCAAGGTTTTATATCAGCCCAACTCATTGAAAACTAAATGTCAGTGGGACCCTGGAGTTCTGCTTGAAGTCAGGTGTTTGTTCAAGGCACTTTTCCTGACTCTGTGATTTGGGTTTCAAGATGCAGAATAGAATATGAACTTCTAAGTTAATTGACCTGCGGGCACAAACAGACAAAAATCATACAAATTAAGAACTAAATTATGTATGTGAAATCCATATGTATGAAAATGCACATGCACAAAGTGATATCTGCACTGTCTTCTATTCCGCCAGCGAATTCTATTTCTCCGTCTGTCTATATTGCTTTCCCTCTGCAGCAGATTCCAGCCACTTGAATTCCATTTCGACTATTGTGCGGGATACGCTCAAAGGACTGAATGGTGCTGCATGAGTAATATATTATAAATAGGCAGCGGAGAATATTGTCTGCCATCCAGCATGATGAATTTTGAGTCATCATATTGAACGGGCCTTTTCTCAGCAGTAAATGCACACATAGCACAAAGCTTCTGCTTCTAATCACACCGTCACACATTCAGTTACGCTAAATTGATTCCCCTGCTAACAAAAATAAAGCGACAACAACAGGGAGAGCAGGAGATACAGTACTAATGCAGATACTAATATTAGTACTAACACAATCCAGTGACAGAGTGCTACACAAAGTGCAAAAGAAGTCACCAACAAGACACTTTTGACTTTCAAAGTTTGTACTGTAGTTTGCCATACATGCAGACTAAAAATAAAGGCTAAGAAATGTAAAAAATGTAAACACTAATACAAATTTTAAACACAATTTGCTGATGTCAGCCACAAGTTAATGTTACTGAACTGTCATTTTCTCTATAGACTTAGCATTGACCTTGTACTTAGTGCTCAAGTGTTTATCCCTGGTATTGTCCCTTGGAACCTTCTCTTTACACCACTGACTGCTTCTACCTAATGCCACAATACCTGACGCCTGACCAACCACAGATAGGAATGATGGCTCATTTTAGAAGAGTCGAACTCCAGATCAAACCTGCTTGGCAGAAGAAGCTCAGTAAACACCATCAGAAGCCGTCAAAGCCAGACTGTAAAAGTAATAATTTTGGAAGTGATCTGAAACAAGATACTGATGTATTTGCCGAATCTCCTCAGGCAGCCGGGTTGTTCCAAAGCCCAAGGGCACTGGCAGAAGGCCGATCAAAGCCCATATATGTGTGTGAGTGTGCACTGTAATCTTTACCACAGTATGTGATCTTTCTTTCTTGTGTTGCCACAGGTGTGCAGAGACCGCAGGTGCCAAAATGCCTCTTTTACCGAGCTGGAGACTTGCATCGCACGCTGTCACGGCAACGGGGTATGCACGTGCGCACGCACACACACACACACACAGACATTAATGCAACAGACTCAACTCACTTAGCTGCCGGGCATAGCTCCCTAATCTTATTGTCACACTGTGTCCTTGGGCAAAGGTAGCGCTTTGCAGTGCTGTCACCAAGTCTGTCGTAAAAAGCAAGAAAATAGATGGCTGGAATACAACAGCAACTGAAGTGATGAACTATTTATTGGAGCAGTACAAGCAAGCCTGAGGCAGATAAGGAGGAATCATACATAGTTTATGAGTCAGTAACCAAGCTTTGGAGTGGAGTGTTTGGGGCTTTGACACTTGTTACCTTAAGAGAAGATAGAGCTGATTTATCAAGAAATTTGTATTGGGGAGTTTGACTTCTGAAGATAGTGTTGGAGAGGGAAACAAAGTATATAGGTCTGTTGATGATCGTAATATTAACCCCCTGATGGGACATGAAAATAAAAATGATCAAACATGACCTGAAATATCAATCTAATAAATTTCCTGCAGAATTTTGTTTTTTAGCAGGTCTTTGCAAGACATAGAGACTATAGGTAAATGAGTACAGTAAGTGAAAACAAATGGATGAATCAGTGGCTGAAATATTAAAAAACCCTCTTGATATTTCTGCCACTGATTGCAGCAGCAAATTGGATCCAGTGCCTGCTAAGAGACAGCTAATTAGAAATCTGATGCTGATATGATGAGAAATGTTGTATTCACACAGGAGTTGATGACTAACCCATCCAGGCACATTATAATGCAACCTTTATGCGGATGTACCCCGCAACCCCCTTATTAGTTTAATATAAGTATTTCAACTGTTTTAAAATGTCTTTTAGCTTCTTTTACCATTTTGCCTAATAATTGTAACAGACTATTTCCACTGTTAATCCATTGTTTTCGGCTACTATACATTTTTTACCTATTCAAAACATTTAAGCTCGTATAAAAGTTAGCACATACATTACGTCTAAGTTGACAAGTAGAGTGCTTCCTCTGATGAACAATTAAAAACAAATACTTCAAAAAGGCGATATTGACAATGCATGCCCCAAAGTGGAAGCTCTGTACAACAGAAGTGGATCCACCTGTGATCACTGACATACAAGTTAGAAACCTATGGTCACTGAAACTGAATTGAGATTGCAATTTTAATTGCATTAACATGGTCATAAAATGACCTGTGAACACCATAACTCTCTCAGTTTTGGACATATTGGCTGTCTGTTTGTCATCGTCATTGTTCCACATGGAAAAGAAATGCCAAAAAATCCTATTGTGAGCCTTCACAAAAGGTGAAAGAGAACACAGGCAAATCGGTGGCAGTGGTAACCATAACACCACTAGCCAAAGCTGCAGCGGTTGTCCTCTTAAAACACAGGCACAGATAATGCACGAGTGCTTTAGGCTTGGCACAAGAGTCATCAATGGAAATTAGTGTTTTTTTGACAGTTTAGCTAGTGTGAAGGACATAATGTCAACCTCTGTGGATAGAAAGAACAAAGAAAAACATGCTTTCTCTTCGGCACAAAAAGCTTTCTAAACAACATGAAAAGAAGCCTAACAAATATGGAAAGCACATCCTTTGGTCATATGCGACATTTTTTTGGCTCATACAACATACTGTATTTAGGATAAACCTGATCACTTAATCCCATTTGCTCCATTACAAGAGTGAAAGCTGCTCTGCTGTTGCTGATACATTTGATTTGTCTTAAGAAAAAAAAAAAAAGCATTATATGGGAAGCATATCCTTTGGTCATATCATACATTTTTGAAGACAACATGCTGTATTTAGGATGAACCTGATCAGGCTTACTACAGTGAATGTATAGTCCTGACAGTGAAGCACAGAGGTGACAGTGTGAACACATGGAGCTACATGAGTGCAAAAGGTGTCAGAGAGATGATATTTATAAATGGAAACTTGAATGCAAGAGAATATACCAAAAAACTGACTGATAAGATGATTCCCTGTCTGGTGAGACTTGGCAGAAGAGGAATATTCCAGCATAATAATGATCCAAAGCACATTCCCAAAATCAAACAAGAGCTTCTGAAGAAGAAAAAGGTAAAAGCTATGACCTTGCCAAATGTGTCACCATTAAATACGTCTATTCCAGTAAAGAACAGCTGAAAAAATTGTCTCATTAGAATGGCAGAACATGTCTCCATTAATGTTTTGTAACACTGGTATCTTCTACCCAAGTACCCAACTTGGAAGGAATGTAATCCCTGTAAGGTGATATAATTCTGAATCACCTGAAATTTAAGTGATATTGCACAGAGGTTTACTCACTTCTGTCTGTCATTTTCTTATCAAGATATAGAGTTTAGATGTTACAGTGGACTCATTATGCATTTTTAATTCTAGTCAAAATTTCAGATAAGCTTAGCCACTGTTTGTCTTTGTGTATCAGCCCTGTGTCTGACTGGCAACCTGTCCAGGAAAAGCCACACCTCTCACCAAATGTCAGCTGGGACAAGCTCCAGCCCAACAATCCAAAGGATAAGAGGGTCTAGCTAATAGAGAGATGGATAGATAGTTGAGTTACTCTACCATCTTATCAAGTTCCAACTGGCATTTGCAGAAATACCTCCTGGTTGGGAATAATTTCATTGGATCATATTGGCTCAAACAAAGCCGATCAAAATGCAATCCTGTCTATTTGGAACTACATTGTGTTCTGTCCACCTCAGCCTGCTCGTGTTACTTTGTAGCTGTGACCACTTTACAACACAGTGATGTGAAAATTAGAATCTGTGACTGAGAGAATTTCTTCCACAAGTGTGAGTGACACTAATCGTTGACATCCAAAATACGTGGGCTTGCGAAACACCGACTCTAATGAATCCTTTGTCAAATCTTTTATCTCATCTCTCTCTTTTTAATCAGCAAAGATCAGAGTTAAAAACATTCAGCTAGCAGCTTTTCTTTTTATACGGTGATGACTGTCACTTTCACACTTCTTAAAATGGCATTATCTGCTCTGGAGGTTATACCTTAGCTTGACTGTTGTCAGGCTTTCAGGAATCAGTCTAAGATCATTTGCGAGGAACAAACTACTCTGTAACTCCCCTGTGCTGTCAAAGTATTTTTTGTTGTTACAAGAACTTTGGAGGAGTCATAGCTCGCCCTGGTGGTTTCAGAAGTCTTAACAGTTATACTTTAATCAATTTTATAAGCAACGTAATTGTTCTGAACCAAGTTTGTTGTTTTGACCTTCAGTATGTGGACCAAGTAGCTTATGTAGACTGGGTGTGGCTGCTTCAACAGGCTATAAATGTTGTTTCAATGTACCAGACTCTGATATATATTTAACATAGAAGCATGTCAATGTAAGTGTTGGACTAGACACAAATATACCAACAATTGAAGGACTCAAAATGGAATCATGGGGAAACTCAGCTTGATGGAAAATCTTTAAAATGTACACTGATGTATCCAGATTGTCTTCTAAAGGGCAGTGAGTAAGCAGGACACAGTGTTATCCTTTGAATCTCTTCTGGGATAAACACCGCCTAACTTTATTATGGCAGCTGGCTGATGTCACATTGTAGGGTTTCATAATTAAAGCAGTCATCAGCAGCGATGACAAGGACATGATCCCTCACTGGCCTCCCACCAATGACACAATCATTGCGGTGTGACCTCAGCCGAACTCCAAATTCTGTTTCCAGGTGATGATCCCTGAATCAAAGTCATTTCGGACTTAGCTTTCTGTTGGGTCAAAAGGGATTTCACAGTGATATTGGTGGGGTACTCTTAATGTAGTTTGACATTGTATTGATGATAAAAAATTCTCCCATCAAATCATCACCAGTCATTAAAGTGTTGAACCGCCAACGATTTGTGGTTTTATTTTGGAAAATGGTATTTAGTTTTTATGCATTATGCTACATTTTATGGTGGCTCGTTTCCATCTGTCCTCTTTGGAAAAGTATAGACTAAAACTGTTATGATTAATTGATTGGTTGATTGTCAGAAAACTTGTTGGATAGTATTTTGATATTGACTTTCAATTTACATAACTTTTCAAGCAATATCAGTCAACATTTGATTGTCTCTCTCTCTATTTGTTGATGTCGTCTTTGGCTCTAGTAAATTGTGAGGCACTGTTTTAAAGAGCAAAACAATAACTTCAGATTAATTCATGAATCCTGTATCCGCCTGTTAAAATACCCCCCAACAACCTATAGGAGTTGCTCGTGCAGCGTTTAAAGACTGTTCTCTCACTGACTCCCCACTCACGAACACAGTCCGTTGTGCTTGTTGAAGCTCACGGCCAAGCCAAGGACATCACCACAGGGAGCAGAAAAACAGTTTTCTGTCAGTGGTGAGTGGGGACTGAAACGTTAACAGCTCAGGTATCGTTGTTTGCATTTACTTTCCTTTGTGATCCAAAGAACTGAATGCAAGATGGCCGTTAATCTTGGAACAGTTTTATCCCAGGGTCTGTTATTAACGGTGCTTTTAAATAAATGCAACTGTGCTTATTTACATCATTCATGCTCATAAACACAGTTTAAATTAAAGCATACAGCTTTGAAATGTGTTCTCTGGGGTTTTCTTAGGTTTTTTAGAAGCCTTAGGTGCTGTCTGCGTTACTGGAATGGTCGTCTCTGAGGGTACGAGATTATTAGAAGGAAAGTTATTTCAAGTTTTTTCTCAGATTGTTTTCTACTATAATCTTTACCATACTTGTGAAAGAACGCTGGAAACATACACACGGTCAAAAGTCGATTCATGTCACTAACATGTTTGACATTTGATCAAATGTGTGTGTGGATTACATAAAATTGTCGAAGAATAAACATGTGCCACCCATTGTCACTTGTGGAGTAAAAGTGAACAGCTCCTAAGAGTTTGTGCTTGATCTTTGTGTTTTTTTCAGCCTAGCCTGTTAGCTAGCATTTACTCTAGGTTGGTATCAATTATGGTAAAAAAGGAAACTGTCAACTATTGTTTTTATGGAGAAACATGCTTTGACCACAGGTTT